GCACTGGGAGCAGTGGGATGCTGGAGTGAGCTTGTGGATCTGTGTGGCCAGAGGCAGACTGGGAGCAGGGTGCCTTCCTCCCCGGGAGAGCAAGGCAGGGAGCAGAGCAAAGCTCTCTCTCACTCCCCTCCACAAAACTCTGCAGGTCCAACTCAATTTCCCCGATCCCTGCAGTGCCCCAGACAAGCCCTGGATGCCAGCAGAGCTCTGGGGTCTCTCAGCTCCCACTGCAGCTCTAAAGCTGCCCCTGCTCTACCTGCAACAGAGCAGAGCTGGGGGCAGTTACATTTCACTGCCTCTTCTCTCTCACTGTAATTCCTTTGCTCCACTGGATTGCTTCCCCTTCAGCACCACACATAATCCATTGCACTGTAATTACACGGGAATTTTAATATCTGATGTATTTATAAGATGCACTTAATCCATCAGCCCCTTTAACCACACTGTCATTCCAGCCTTCAGCAGGGAGGGAAGGATGACTCGCTGTCAGATGGAGATTAGCTGGCCTGTGTGTAAGGAGTTGGGGGGTGTTCTCAGCCCAGCTGAGAGCCCCACTGCCAGATCCCACCCTGCCTGGGGAGCAGGATCCCACCATGCCAGGCGGCCCAACCCTCCAGGGGATTGTGCCAGGGCTCCCCTGTGCTGCTGCAGAGACAAAGGGCAGCACAATCCAGAGATCTTCCCAAACATTTGAATCATCCAACAGGTTGGAATTTGGCAGAAATGAAGGGCCTGTGTTGGGGTGAGTTTTATCCCTACAGCCCAAGCACTGGGGGCTCCCCAAAGGGCTCCCTAAGGTGAGGGATCCACGTTCAGATCCCAAGAAGAAAGTAGCCCCTACTGAAGGCTTATTTTTCCTGGCATTTGTTTCGGTGGCTCCTTTCCAGCCGTGTCCTAAAAGGGAACCAAAGGCCTTTGAGCCTCGTGCAGGGAGCACAATGCAACGATTTTCCCAGCCCAGGCAGGAGGGATGAGCTCACTGGTGTCCTTGGTTCCCCTGGCTTTGGGGTGCAGGGTCCCTGTGCCGAGCACAGCACACATCACAGCTCCTCGGGGTGCCCAGGAGGGCAGGGGCTCAGCAGGATGCTGCAGGTGGTGGGGCTCCATCCCACCAAGCCCTGACAGAAATGCCAGCTGAGCCTGGGAATGAGGGGCAAAGGGGGGGAGAAAAGGGTGGTCTCACAGACTCGATCCCTGGGGGCACCCTGGCTGTCACTGATGGATGACAGCACATATTTCACACTGGGATTTCCCACAGCCCTGCAGTGACATCCATGCTGCCCTGCCAGGCACCTCTGTGGGCAGGTGGCACTCACAGGTGGTGGCATTGCCCCATCTCAGCACTGGCTGTGCAGCACCACAGAGACACAGCCCAGCTCCTGGGGGCACTGGATGGTTCTGCATGAGCAGGATGGGCCAGGGACCCACCAGGTCCCCACAGCACCGGGTGACCACTGGGACACAAACCCTGACATGGGCCAGGTGACCACCAGGTGACACAAACCCTCCTCCTGCTTCCAGCGAGCTGTGCCAGAGCGGGGCTGTGGTGACATTTCAGCTCAGGCAGGTGCCACCCTGAGCCCCTGAGCTGCTGTCAGCACCCTGAGCCCACCCAGAGCCCTGGGGCTCCCAGGGCTGGGTCAGATCCCAGCAATTGGCAGTGGTCAGGCACGGTGACGCGCTGGTGACACACTGGTGACACACAGGTCTGCTGCCAGGCCACACAGGCACAACCTGGCAGGGAGGTCTCTCCCCACAGCTCCCTGCTCTGGCACCCTGGAAACTCAGGCTGGGGACAGAAGGTGCTGCAGCCAGCCTGATGTCCCCCCATGGCCCAAGTCACGTCACACACACTCCAGAGCTGCACTCCCTGTCAGGCTGCTCCGAGTGCCAGCACGTCCCTGTGCCCTGTGCCAGCCCTCTGGGGGCAGAGCTTGGGCTGAGCTGGGGCATCTCCAACCCAGGGTTCTCCAAGGAGATGGTAATTCCTCATCCCCTCCCCATCCAGAGGGTCCCTGGTCTGCCCCCCGTAGGGTGTCACAGCCTCCTGCCTCAGTTTCCCTCCTGCACAGTGCTGTCTGAGAGGGTAGAGGCAGGACTGTGGGTGCAGTAGGGTCTCCAACCTGACCTCTGGCTTAGGACTCTCTGCTGTCCCCATCCCCAGGCCCTCCTTCCACAGGGGGATGTTGGCCCCCAAGGTCACTGCCAGAAGGTGCTGGGAGCAGACACCTCAACCTCATGCCCAGCCAGCCCTACCATCCACCCCCTCCAGGTCCTGGCCACTCCCTGAAGCTCAGCCACCCTGCAGGTGTCCCCCTCCCTCCGCCTGTCCCCAAAAAGCAAATATCCAGGGAGCTGGGCTCGGCGCTGCAGCTCTGCCGGTGGCACTGGCGCTGAGCAGAGCAGGCACTGCAGCACGGCTGTTACGTAAGCCCCAGCCAGCTCTGGGGATGTAGGACACCGGGGGTGTCCCCCGGCCCCCCCGGGGCTGCCACCCCCACCCCACCCCGCCACGGGGCTCGGGAGTTTGGGGGAAAACCCCACCAGCTCAGCCCACGCTGCGAGGGCTGTGAGGGGGGGACTGGGGTGGCCCTTGGGGTGTTGTGGCCCTGTCAGGGGACACAGGGTGGTGGGGACAGGAGTGGGGGGACAGGAGGGTTGTGCTGCTGTGAGGCAGGGGATGGGGCAAGCGGTGGGGTGGGATGGGGCTGGGAGGCAGCGGGTGCTGCACCCACATCCCACTGAGTCCTTCTGGACTCAGCAGGGCTCACCCGTGCAGGTGAGAGCCCAGGGAAGGAGCCGGGCGGTCAGGTTGGGACTCCCGGGCTGTGCCTCCCTCGGGGATGAACACAGCCAGGGCAAAACATCCAGCCCTGATCCCAACCTGCTACATCTACATCCCCATCCCCACAAACCTGGAGGGTCAGCACCCCTAAGGACAGCCTTCCTGGGGCCAGTATCCCTGGGACAGCATCCCTGTGACCAACCTCCTTGGGATCAGCATCCCTGGAACAGCATCCCAGGGAGGAACATCCCCACTGCCTCCAGCACAAGCTGGGGAGCCACGATCAGGCTTTTCCAGAGCTGAAGGGAAGATCCTTCCCCTGAGGGACAGCCTTGGCCTCACCTGCCCTGCATCCCTGCAGGGAAACGGAGGTGAGGGATGGCACTGCTGGCATCACCCGGGTCACCCATCCCCAGAACGCCCGTACCCTGTGCTGGGGGCACAGCGAGTGGGCAGGCAGGGCTGACAGCACCCGGGATCAGCCTGACCCTGGCTACCAGAGCATGGGGATCCCAGCAGCATCCCCTGCCTTGGTGCAGGATGGGGGCAGGGATGGGGAGCCCCGTCCCCACAGTTAGGTGATTTCTCTCTGCCTTTCTGTCAGGCTCGGTCTGGATTTAGCCAATTCTGCTTGGGGATGTCAGGGGAGGGGAAAAAAAGCCCAGGCTAAAGGTTCCAGCAATGGGAGATACCAGAGCAGGAAATTAATGTTAATTAATTCATAATGACGCTGAGATAGTGATACCAGATGCTTCAAAAGTCCAACGGGGGAATCTGAGAGAGCTTTGCAAGAAATCCATCGCCCACCGGCAGTCCTGCCTCACTGCAAGCTGGGAACGAGGGACTGAACTGGGAACTGGGATCAAGCTGGGGCTGCAGGACCAAGCTGGAACTAGGGAAGCAGCTAGGAACGAGTCAGGAATGCTGAAAGAGGGGCACATCCCTGTGAGGTGACAATCCCAGAGTCAGCCAGAGCTGTGCAGAGCAGCACTGGGACCCTCCCTGCCATCACACTCCCACCTTTCTCCCTTGCACCCCAACTCAGAAGCTGGAGTGGAGCTGGAGTGACAAGACACCCACCGAGCTCCGCTCCCTGGGGCGCAGGGGCTTCCCAAGACCATTAATGCTAATTTTTATCTCTCTTTTCCTCCATTTCGGGCACACCAGGTTCAGGGAAGGTGGCTGGGTATGCACTGGGCACTCAGGGGCCTGCAGGGGGATGGAGGGACAGCCTCATGATCTGGGACAGGGACACAGGTCCTTTGCCAGCCAGCATCCCTACACTCAAAGGATGATTTCTCCCTCCTCATCCGGGTGAGCCAGTGCCTGCCCTGCACTGCCAAACCCAAACAGGGCCAGACTTCAGCCAAAGGGTGCAAAAGATCCTAGAAAGGGGCTTGAGCCTGGTGCCACCTCCCCAGGGCTGGGGATGCCAGAGGCAGCGCCAGGAAGGGTGCAACCATGAACCCTGCAAAATCCAGAGGCAAACCCCCGGGCTTGGAGCTGTTTGCCCTGACGGGGGGATTATTCTCCTTCCCACGGCGATCCAGCAGCACCTGCACCCAGAGGGGACCCTGGGAACGGGGACGTGGCCGAGGCCACGCAGGGCCTGGCAGCGGCAGAGCAGGGTGGCACGGCCGGGGCACGGCGCTGCCATCACTGCTTACATAAGGTGTCCCCTCCGAGTGCCACACAGGGCAGAACTGTCCCTGCAGCGACCCCTGACATGGACAGCACCCCCAAATCTGCCGAGCCAGCCTCCTTCCCCCTGCACAGAGGTTGGGTGAGGCTCCCGTGTCTCTCAGGCACATTCCCACCCTAAGAGCCCCTAAAAGCTGCAGGGATCGGGTGGAAATGTCGGGTTCCAGCTCGCGGTGCAGTTCCCCCCACAGCTCCTCCGAAGTTTTTCCGCAGCAGGAGCGGTTTCTGCTGCGCAGGCAGCAGGAGAGGGGAGAACCCCACCGTGAGCACCACCAAAACTACAGAGCACCACAGCACCAGAGTCGGGGTGACGCCAAAATCCCACCCCAGCTGGTCCCAAGGGAATTGCCATAACCCCCCTGGTCATTCCAGCGCTAAGGAAAAAAACTACTTCGACTTCACAGGCAAAGCAACTCTTTTGGGTAAAGAGCAGCAGAGGCAACACAGGATTTCAAAGTGTGTTTTGGATCAGAGGCAAGAAGCAAAGTGGCCTTTACGGTGCCTTCCCCAGCAAAGCCAGAGCTTTATTAAGCTTATCTGGCATGGATGGGAACACTGACTGTTATTCCAGGCCTGAAAAGAGCAAGCAAGGATTTATTTTTTTTTTTTTTAAGTCTTGTTTTCATTATTTTCTGGTGGCTTCATTGCTTTGTGCTCACACAAAGGGAATTTCACCTGCTGTTCCAAACAAAAGGCCCTGGAAAGTTTTGCAGGGAAGGGGATCGGGGAAGAAGGTTTGTAGAAGCAAAATGAGTTGTTGCATGGTTTGTTGTGGATTTTTTTTTCACAGTGACCTGTAAAACATCCCCAGCTCTTTGCTGCTTGCGGAAGATCTGGCGCCGACATGTGAGTCCCCTATCCCCAGCAGTGTCACCCCTGGGATGGGAATGGGAAGGTCTCAGAAATTGGGGTTGTTTTGGGGTGCAGAGGGAAGGCAGCAGGACCGCATCCCATCTTTTTCACGGGCAAAGTCACGCCACGCTTTCTAAGAACAGGAAAGAAACGAACCCAGCCCTCGTTCGCTGACACCACAGCAAAACAGGTGGTTCAAAATCACAAGTGCAAGGGGGGGAGAAAATAAACCCTGTTCGGTGATTTTGTGCTCATATTCACTGCAAAACTGTCCGGGAATGCTGCTAAATACACACCATTTTCCCTCTCACACTCTTTGCTCTATAATTAAGAGAGACTTCTAAAAATACGAACGGCCTCGAGCACCCAGTGAAGGCGTGCAGGTGCTGCTAACTGGAGGCACTTTAGTACAGCTCATTTTCTGGACAATTTTACTCGCCTGGCTCGTGCTCAGCGCCGATACTATTACAGTGATGCAATTATGCTGCTGCTGCTGCTGCTGCTGCTGCTGCTGCTGCTGCTGCCGCCGTGCTCGGCTTTTTCCCTGCGCTTTGCAGTTTGCCTTCCAAGCCCCCCCAGCCCCGCAGCTCACCCCAAGCGTGTCTCCCCCAGCGAGGCCCTGGGAGTTGGGGACTGGAGGGGTCAGGCTCTGTGTGTGTGTCACACCGACATGCCAACGTCCCTGTGTGGGCACCGAGGGGCATAACCCCGCGTGGGCATCGCCCAAAACAACCGGTGTGCAAAAGTTTTGGGTGAGGAAGCGAGCTGGCCGGGGGAAGCGAGCAGAAGGGAGCAGGAGCACGGAGAGGAACCCAAAAAGCAGCAGCAATACCCTGAGTGCTGGCTGGGCAGGGAGGGGGCCCATGGCACTGGCACGGTGATGCCGCTTGGCAAAACATCCCCCCCTAAGCTGGCATTTGGGGGCACAGGGGTGAGGGGGAACTTTCCCCGTGGAGCCGCCGCTGCGAAACTTCCCCGTCTTATTTCTCCATTAGGGCTGCAATAGGTGGAAGTGATTGACTCACTATGAGACTGCTGTTTTTGCCTCTGACTTGGGATTAAGACGGAGCTGGAGGAGCGGAGGAGCCGTGGTTGGCAGGCACCGGAGCCGGCACTTACCTCTCACCGCATCCAGCCCCTCCGGCCGTGGGGCTGCAGCTCCTGGAGAGTTAGCTGGCAGGGCACCCCACATCCACTCGGGTTTCTCCCAGGACCGACATTCGGCTGCTGCTTCTTAGGCACAGACCCAACCCCTCCATTCCAACCACAGGGGGGAAAAAGAAAAAATCTTCTTCCAAAAGAAAAAAAAATAAAGGAATTAAAAAAAAAAAAAAAAGAGGGAGATTAAAAAAAAAAAAAAAGCAAACACGCTTTTTTTCTTGGTTCGGTTTTCCCGTGGAGAAAAAAAAGAAAAATAGATAAATCCCAGCGACCAAGAGATCCAGACTCAGGTGAATTTAGCTTCAAACTCCCTCTGTGCTTTCGGAGCCTTCACCCTCAAATGGGCTCTGGAAGATGCTGGGGGACCCATCGTTGCCAAAGTGTCATCAAATATCCTTCGGGCTCAACTCCGCTCCTGCCCAGGGAGGGTGGACTTCTTCCCTTCTTCCCTGCTTGCTGCGTGCTGTGGAGTTGGCAGGGACCTGCCTGTTCCAGCCTCAGCGTGGAGGGTGGGTGGGTTGGTTGGTTGATGTGGGTTGGTTTTCTTTTTTTTTTTTTTTTTTTTTTTTCCTCGCCGCTATTGGTTTTCTTGCTATCTGATCCTGAGCGAGCGCTGCAGCTCGCCGCTTCCCTGCTTTCCCCCCCCCTCCACCAGCTCCCAGGCTTTTGACAGGGAATGAAACACAGACACCCAGTGAGACAGGCTCCGGCTTCTACAAAGCTCCACTCCCTCCTGCTGCCTTTGTCCGTGAACAGCAACTCCTCCAACTCTGCCCGTAGACACGAGGGAACCTCTGCATCAGCACTTTCCTAATGGCTGCTTCGCCCCAGCCCTTCGGCCCTTCTTCTTCTTCTTCTTCTTCTTCTTCTTCTTCTTCTTCTTCTTCCTCGCTTCCTCTCCTCTACCTTGATGGCTTCCCCTTGCTTTTCCTAGCCCGGCCCTGGCCCCGGCAGCCACAGCCCTTTCCCGATGGATCCATCCATCCCAGCTCCCCGTGCCGGCGGCTGCGGTCGGGGTCAGTGACCCCACAGTCCATCAGCCTCCTCCCGAACACCTTCCATGAAAAATCGATGGTGGGACAGCGTCCCTGAAGGCTTCACTTTGGGCTGGTTTAAGGGCCAGGGTGCGTATGTGGAGAGGAGATGGGGGCAGAGGGAGGGCTGAGAATTGGAGCCACTTCTTTTTATTGCAGGCGGGGATTATTTTTATTTTTTTTTTTTTTAAAGGTTGACCGGAGTCCAAGTTTGTTTCTTTGGTGGTGAGCATTATTTTAAGCCATTTGGGAGGCTTTGGGTGTCTCCAGGTCACACTATCCTTATAATAGCCAGGCCTTTTTGGAGAGGGTCAAAGTGAAACCTTGCTCCAGCAGCGTTTTTCCCCGTGGAGGGGAGCAGGAGGCACAGGGATGCTGCAGTGGGCTCACAACCTCGGCTGGCTCCCAGCCAGAGGGAGATGCAAACCAGCCACCGTCTGTAATTTTTGCTACGCTTCCTCCACACTCGGTCACCCGCGAGATCCCAGGGCTGCTGCCTGCTCCTTTTTTGGGGATTCACAGGCTTTGTAAAAAAAAAAAAAAAAAAAAAAAAAAGAAATATCACAGCCAGGAGACCTCCAGCCTCGGTGCTGCTCAGCGTGGCTGTCACGAGCTGGCAGGTCACAGAGAAAACATAAAGCCCCACAGAACACGGCGCGTGACGAGGCTGCCTCCCCCCCTGCCCTTTGGGAGCCTCTCCCTCACTTTTCCGTGCCTCTCACCACAAGTTTGGGACCAGCAATTCCTCCTTCTCCCCTTCGACAGCATCCTGGAGCAGTGATTCTCCTGGTGCCCAACTCCCATCCTCTCCCAGGGTGGAGCTTTGTTCCCCCACTGATCCCAAGTGCCACCTCAGGGCACTGCTCCCAGTGCTGCCTCCAGTCCCCTCTCCACATTGGCTTGTCTGGTCTCACCCCAATCCACAAACCTCAGACACACGGAATTTTAACCAACACCAAAACCCCAGGATGAAAAGCACTGCAGGGCCTTGCAGCCCTGAGGGATGCCCAGTTAACAGCAGGGATTGGGGATTTGCAGGTCAGAGGGGACCCCAGCTCACACACTGGGCGTGGTGGTCTTGTGCAAGACCGCCCAGGGACAACCTGACCCCAAAACACTGCTCCTTTCTGTGAGGCAGCCCCTCCTGCTGAGTGCCAGCCTGCTCCTCCTCTCCTGTCACCCCACCATGCCCATGGAAAGCTTCCCAAACACCTCCCTGCCCCAATGCCCAACCAGAGGTGCCAGCACAAAGTTCCTGACACTCCCTTCAAAAATAGATTAAAAGATTGGTTGCACACTGGCCATGGGCCAGGGGCACCCACTGGGTGGGGGGAGCAGCTTCAGGGTCCCCAGTCCACGACTGGGGCTGGATAGGAGGGTTGGGTGGAGCTGGGCAGCCACAACATGGCCAGGCTGGTGCTCCCATCACCTGCCCATGCCGGTGCCTTATCCCTCTCTCCAAATTAACAGCCTGGGACTTCCATCTTGGTAAACCCCAGATTCCCTCTGCTTTTGGGGAGAAGTTCCCCACGTTTTCCCATCAGGGCTGAGGAGAAGCTCAATGTCCCCATCTGTCCATGCAGGACCACAGCCCTGGGGACCTCCACATCCCCTGGGCTGCCAGCCAGGGAACAGCTCCAGCCGGGATCCAACCTCCCCCTGCCCCAAGCCAGGTGTGGCCACTCTTTTAGGAACTGTCCAAGGGAGGGAAGGAGGATGAGGGGGTGAGAGGAGGGTGCAGCCAGCGGGGTCGAGCCCCTGGCAGTGCCCGCAGCGCGGCTGCGCAGGGCCGTGAGCGAGTCAGGCCTGAGCCATTAGGGCTAATTTAATCGAGATGGATGGCCCGATTGGAGGGCTGCCTCCATAAATCCCCCACTCCCGCTGCATTAATGCCAGGGCTCCCAGAGGAGGAGGCCGAGGGGGAGGCGTGGGGATGGGGAAACGTGCTAAGTCACCCATGCTCCTGACGGCATCGGGCTGCGTGTTCGAGGTGCCACCACCCCGTCCCACACACCCTGGGGACACAGCCCACCGTCCTCCAGCCCTTCCAAAAACCTGGCAGCTGGAGAGGGTGGGATTGCAAGCAAACTGGGTTTGCTGAGCCCCAAAAGGTGCAGGGTTGTTCACAAATCCCACAGGGCAGGGGTGTGCATCCATGGGCATCTCACCCGTTTGCTCCAATGGGTTTTGCAGCAGGAGGAAGGTGGGGTGCTGGGGGAAATAGGCTTGGAGCCCCATCGTTGGCCCCAGTGTGATAACTGGGACTTGGAAATAGAAGCTGAGAAAGCCCCAAGGCTGATGGATGCAGCACCTACCCCAGCAAAACATGCACAACTCAAGCCACACCAGACCACGACACATCCCCACAGAATACCAGCTCCTCTCTCCTGGCACCCCGCTCCCTTCCCACTTCAGCTCCTAAAAAACCCCATTTGCAGGCTCAGGGTTGGTATCTGATGACCCAAAACATATCCTCCCATTCACTGGGCAGTGGGAGCCACACGTGGCAGCTCAGGAAATCAACCCTCATGCATCCAGGTTAAAAATAGCCGTGAGTTGGCCAAGCTGGCTCCCATCTCCCCAGCCCAGCAGCCCCCCGAGCTCCCAGCCCTGGGCAGGGGTCTGCTCGGCCGTGGCCATCTGCTCCGGGATGCCAGCTCTGCCAGGCCGTGCTGTTGGCCGGCAAAGGGATGCAGAGGGCCAAGTCCTGGTGGGATTTGGGAAGAGAGCGGGCCAGGGGATGCGGCAGGCAGAGGGGAGGATGGTTTTGTGGGCACTGCTCTCGCCCCTGGAGCGCTCACGGAGGCTCTGGTAGGGGAGAAAGCTGGGCTGATAGCCCAGTGCAGAAGAAAAGATATTTGTGTTACCAGGGGATCTCAGCCTGGGAGAGCAGTCAAGGATGTCCAGGAGCAGTTGGATGATGGAGAGAGGGATGTTCAGACCCACCCCACACTCCATGTCCAGAGCATCTCGAGGGCTGTGTCAACACAGAGGGAGCACAACCAAAAGTGCCCAGAGAGGCTGACCCCGTGCATGAGGAGCAGTGAGCTGTGGCACTGCCATGGATTTATCTGGAATGCACATCCCTGCACACCTCTGGTTTCTGGCTGTGCTTCAGCAAGATCAGGAGGCAGGGAAGGCAGGGAAGGAGCCCAGCTGGTGGCAGGAGGAGCACAGCAGCTGAGGTCTTTTGATTGTGGTGATTTTCTGGCACTACGAGTGAGGTCCTGGGGACCAAAAAGTACTAATGGGGACAAGAATTGGCCATTGCCATGCAGGGATGTGAAGCAGTTCTCCATAGGTTGGTTGCACCATGCCCAGCAGGTCTTGCTCTCTCAGCTCAGCACCACTCACTCACCCAGGAAAGAGAAGAAAAAGCAAGATGGGGTCTGAGAAACCATCAGTCAGGAACAATAATCTGCTCCATGAAAAGCCACAGAGCAGGTGAGCCATTTCTCCCCAGAATGGCTAGCACAGGGAGAGAAAAAAAGACATTTGTATTTCTGCCAGTTGACAAAATGAAATGCCACTTGTAGCCAGTGAAACTCTGCAGATTTTGCTAATGAAGGACTGCTCCATCCAGCTTCCAGCTGGATTCCAGCCCCAGCCACAACACGGACACTGGCAGCGTCCCCCGTCGCATCCCAGCACTGGTGCCACAGCGCTCAGGCTCGCTGCAAACCCAGGCACTGCCCCACAGCAGGGACACAGACCCCACTGCCAGGTTTGCTCCCACTCTTTGCTCCCCTGTGTTTGCCCTGGGGACCGTGCTGCTGCGATAGCACCGTGTCCCTTGGGAGGCTCAAACATATCTTAGGAAATTTTCCCATTCTACTCAGCTTAATTTCACCCATTAGAGCTTGTCTCAGCAGGGTCCCGAGGGAATGCCACTCCCCAGCATCCTCCTCTGACTCTTCCTCTGCTTCTCTTCTCCATGTGCACGCAGCTCACCTCAGGATGGCTCAGCCTTGCTCCACCATCAGCAGTGCTGGTCCAAACAACCACATCCTCCATAAAACCTGCCCCTCCCTGCACAGTCCCCGAGGATTTCCCAGCTGCTCATCGTACACTTTTTAGGAGTTGAAAGGTGCTGACCCCACCCTGCTGCACACAGAGAGGTCCAGCCCATGGACAAACACTTGGCCAGTGCATTTCATCATGGCCAGAGGTGGGAGCCTGCTCCTTATCCACGACTGAAGTGCAAAAACAGAGCTGGTTTGGGAAAACTGTGCACCCTTAGCATGCCTCCACTCCAAGACCAGCCCAGAAACTCCATGACTTTGGGATCCTGTAGGGAAAAAACATGATAAAGCAGGAGGAAAGAAGCTCATCTGCTGCTGTCATGGCCTGCAGTGTTTGGGGGGAGGATTTGGGGCAGCAGATGGGAATTCCTAGACTTTGTGCACAATCCCAGTGCCAGCTCGATGGCCCAGTTGTGACGAGCATAGCTTTGGCTTTCCACCATGGGATGCTCCAAAAGGAACAGCAAAGGGCAGCTCCCCTGGGGTCCC